AACAAATAATTCATAAATATCATTGCTTGTATTTCATACCAATGTACATAATTCATTAAATTTTTGTTGACAAGCTTTTACATCAGGTTTATGTTTAGGTACAGGAATTCCATAAGTTCCCGGTGTTAAACAAGCTATTGGTGATGCTGTATTTGGCCAACCGGATGCTGTTTGTCCTACCCAAGTTTCCGTACAACGATGGTCTAATATATATAAACCAATGCATGGTATCATCATACTTATCATTATAATTAACCATATAAGTAACATAATATAGACAACAAATGTAAACTAAGAAAAAAAATTGATGAATTATATGATGAATCAAGGTTTTTTTTTTCTATGTTTTAATATTTACAAATCCTGTTGCAATTCGACCACCAATTCGAGAACGAAATCCAGTATATACTTGATGACGTGTAGCACCTGTAGCTAATGATCCAACGATAAGTAATATCAATGAAAAACTACCCATTATTCCAAGAATAAAAATTACGGTCAAACGTAATATACGAATCCTTTATAAAAACAAAAAAAAAAAACGTTCTAAATTTTAATTAAATTTTCAATTCATACCATTCAAAATCAATATATTCAGTTTCAAAAGCATTATTTATTTGTTCAATAGATATTCGAATTGGATAATAAAGACAACCACAAAAAATACTTGTACCAACTATTGTTATAACAAATGCCAGTAATGAAGCAAATGGACAACTTCCACAACATCGAAGAAAATCTATATTAATTGAATATAATAAATATTCTAATATAAAATCATTTTAAACGAACTATTTTGTCTATATTTCATATCCGACATTGTTCGTTCAGTCCAAAGTTCTCGACTACGATCAGCAAAACGATCAATATCACCTTTTAAAAAAAATTCAACCATCAATAAGCCTTATTTTCAAAAAAATAAATAAATAAATAAATTTTCAATAACATACGATCATGAATAACCATCTTGATAAGGTGTAAGTGTTTACGATACGATTGACACAATACGAACGAACGAAATGTTAGCAGAGACAGATTGACCGCATAAACAAGCAAACAAACTATTTCATTGATCAAAATTTTTAACCAATAAAATCTTTTGAAACTTATATCATCTAGAAAACAAAAGCATGAATGACTAAGAAAAAAAAAAAAAACATATATTTGGAATTTTTTATTCAATTTTGAAAAAACAAAACAAAACAAGACAATGAATAATGATGATATTGTTTCGGATATTATTTCATTAATTCATTCAACTACAAAATCAAATTATATTATTTGTTCACAACTTTCATCAAAGTTATTTTCGTATTTATCACAAATTCATCTAAAAGATAATCAATGGAATGAATTAAATAAAGCTATTGAAGTAAAATATTTCTATACAAGGAATTATAAAATATAGAATTTTTCTTTCTTTTTTTTTTTCATTTTAGCGTTTTGAGCAAAGTATTGATCATCCTGATCTTCAGCGATTTCGACAATTAATTGAAACAATAAGTACTTGTTCAAATGATTGTGAAGAACGAAATTATACATTAGGACGTGATAGAAAGACACTTAATGATTCAATTAATCAATTACAAGATTTATTAGTAAGAAAATAAAAAACAAGAATAATTTTACATAAAATATTTCCTTGGCCAAGTTTTATCTTGCTTTTTCTCTGTTGGAGAGACCATTTAAAACTTCAGAAACAATATTGTTCCTTTACTCTTTCCACGCTGAATAGAACAGTATTCTATGGTTAAAATAAACAACACAGCGAGTTAGTTTCTATTTATTTGTCATATTATTATCATTTGATTGCATACCTATATGTGGCAAATAACCTATGACGCGACAAGATTGACACAAAATATTCGTTCATTTTCCAATCAATAAAAGATAACCGGTTGAAATTAGAACTTTTCAGTGTTTCCCAATATATGCATCCAGATTTTTCTTCTTGAATAAGATTGAATAATTATCAATAAATTTTGTGAAAAAATCCAAAACTATGTCTGAACAGAAGAAAATAACGGCTCTGACAAAGCTCTTAGTTTATATCTTAGAACAATTTCAACACAGTACTACTGAATTCTGTCAGAATTCACTATTTCAAAAACTGTTTTCAAAAATACTAAAGTAAATAGTACGCTTTGTAGAGCAAACAAAAGTGAACTATTAACAACTGTTTGATTTTTTTTTGAATTTAATAAGTTTTAATCAAAATACAACATTAACCAAAACAATATTCTATACAGTCATTATTTTCGATCTTTTGAAACAATCTAATGATGATTGTCCAATCCTATCTGAGAAGGAAATTTAGAATACACATTTAGAAAGAATATTTTGATTTTGTAGAAATCTCATGTTGATCTTCATTGTTTTTGTCTTGCTAAATTAATTAAACAACAAAGCATTCGATTATATTTGATTGATCTTATGAATTTAACTGGAATGGTTCGTATTATTGAATCGAGAAAAAAAAGAAAACAAAAATATATTTTTTTTTCTATTTTGATTAGAATGTTGGAAATCAAATTCATGGTATTCTATGTGATATTGTTCAACTTCTATGTCAAATTGATCCAACATTTGCTACTTCAAATGTAATCGATCATCCTATTCTATTGAATTGTATTCAAATTATTCAAACAAATATTAATAATATTGATTCAAAAGGTGTTTAAAATAATACTTGTGTATGTAAATGCTATTTGAAAATTAAGCGATTACAAAATCAGGACTTTCTCAGTAAAGTGAATTTTTCAAAAGACAATCAAACTTGAGTTTTTACCATGGAAAAACATTCTGATCATTTCTTTATTTAGAACTTATATTTCTTTTTTTCTGTATAAAATAGCCAAATTTTCATAAGTTTTGAGCTATGAACTTTGTTTTGATGTACCCTTGATTAGGATTAGATTCATAGAATAAGGTCACTTGGTAATTTTTATTTTCTCAAGTCTTAACTATGAATATCGCTTTCAAGAAGTTGTTTTTAAATAACTTTCTCATTATACTCTAAGTAGGAGCTGTTTCTTATCGAACCAATTCTCTTATATGATTCTTATGTTGAGCAGTATAGAATTTTGTGTCATAGAGTCGGTTTGTTTATACTTATTTTAATCACAATTTTACTTAGCTGTTTATAGAAAATGACCGAAAAGGGGGTTTTTAAAATTCTGTTCAGATAAAATCTACACAACTCTGTTGAATTTCATTGAAAACCACAGTAAGTTCGTTGTTTGTTTTAATGACAAAACATTGGAGATTCTATTGTAGATCATATATGGACTATAAAAAGAGCTACCACTCAGATCTAGTTCTATATAGCGAACTGAATTTTTAACTAAAGAAGTTTCTTATTAGGATTAATCATCTTTGAAAACTTCAAGTCAAATAAACTTTGCTAACGAATAATTAACAACTTATATTTTTAAATTTCGATTCAAAACTTCGCCTAGAGACAGATCTTAATGAAATTAGTGTATTGTAAAAAATGAGATCTTGTGATTTGCTCCTATCCTGAAATAAGATTATCAAAAACTATCAATGTATATGAGCGATGTGATAGATATGTTTTCATCTTAGCTGTATCTCAAAATAGGAAAAACGAAACGATCTGAAGTTTTTATTATAAAATAATCTCATTCAGATCTATCCATACACAAAGTTTCAAGGGAAAAGGTGAAAATTAGTTTTTTCTGGTATTTCTGAAGGTGGAATACAGTTTTAAATTAAATAATACTATAAAATTACAGTATCTCAACCGCCATGAGCTAACAATACGAAATTTTTCTGAGTTATTAAAATTATTTTAGGCTCTACACGATATGCATTATTCTGATTCAAACGTGACTAATAAATCGAAAGATTTTTCTCATCAGTGAGAAATTCATTGTGAAAACGAGAAACTCTTTAACTATCATAGTTTATATTTGAACTGAAAGTATTAGTTAGTTATTCGATTGGACTGTTAAATTTATGTAGCTACATGTGTACAAGGACAAAGTGTTTTAGATATTCTTCATTGGATATCAAAGCATATTTCTTTCTGAACAAGTGTTTACATCATGTACAAGAAAAAAATAGAACAGAACGAGTTTTATCGAAGCAATTGCTAACATATAGCGTTTTAGACGACAATATGAAATCAACAGTGATATCTGCTCTGAATCTTCTGACGACCATTCTTTTAACAAACGAGCCATTTCCAGTGGATACTAACAGTAAGTTATTTGTTTTTTTCGATTTTATAATTTTCTGTTCTATATCTAGGCCAATTATCCAATTCTATATTTTTAAAATGCATATTTCAATTAATTGAAAATAATCATGATGATGATGAATTAGTTTTACCATCAATAAAATTTTTATTATCATTTAATTTACGTTTTGATTATCCAAATAAAAATCCTATAATGTTGACATTATTAGCAATAAATGAACAAATATCATGTCGACATTTAATGGAACGATTAATTTTATTATTTAATCGAAATAGTAAGAATATAGTATACATAGAACTTTTTCTAAAAATGTGTCGTCTTTTTCTCTTAAGTTGATCCAATTGAACATAAAACAATACATACAGTGATAAAATTTTTTGCTGATTTATTTGATGATCAAAATATGACAAGTGATATACTTTTATTTGATTCTGATCGACGTTTAATTATTGAAATAATAAGTAGAGAATTAATCAATCGTTCATGTACTGATAAGGATACAACAGCATATCTTTCATTATTAGAATTAATTCTTCGTAAACATCCAATTACACGTGAAACATGTACACGTTTTGATGAACTACAAACATGTTTTCAATCGTATCTTTGTGCAGAGACTTGTTTGAATGAAAATCGTTTTATTATAAATGAAATCATTCGACAACATAATTGGTGATCAATAATTTAATATATCTAATTTTATATTTGAAATACTTCTTTTTGTGTTCTTTTCTTGTGTTTAATTCGAAGAATATATTTTAGATAAATTTTTAATCAATGCCGGAATTAATGACGGATGAAAAACCAAAATCATCAGAACAAATTGATTTAGAAGAAGCTGAAAATGCATTATCAGGAAAAGATTATCAAACTGCAAAAGAATTGTTAGAAAAATTGGGTAAAATTTAAAATAGATGTAATCTTAATTGAATTATTTGTTTTTGTTTTGTTTAATAGTTAAATTAGAAGCAAAAGTTGATGATGAAGAATCAATACGTATTAAAGAATCAGCTATTCTTTCACTTGGAAAAGTTTTTAAGGAAACAAAAGATGCTAAAGGTAATGAAAATATTTTTTCATTTTATTAATTTATTTAAAAATTTTTTTTTTTAAAGCTTTGGCATCATTAACTAAAACTACTCGTCCATTTCTTGGTCTTGTTAGCAAAGCGAAGGCAGCTAAACTTGTTCGAACTCTAGTCGATCTTTTTCTTGATATGGAAGCGGGTACTGGTGAAGAAGTAAATTAATTTAATTTTTTTCTTTGGAGGATTTCATTTTTTTTATTTGTTTGATTTATTCAGGTTACATTATGTCAAGAAAATATTGAATGGGCAAAAAGTGAAAATCGAACATTTCTTCGACAAGATCTTGAGGTAAATATTATGAGACATGATCTTGACGAAATGTTAAAGTATGTAGATAAAAATTCGAACCATTCACAGACCGTGACAGACATTGTTCATGTACCATCATACACCGCATATCAATTGCATCTGTATATAATATATGAACTACTTCCTCAAAATAGATAGAATAAAATACTTCCCGTGTGATTATTAGCAACAGTTACTACATTGTGTTGCACATTTTAATCTCATAAGAAATATACTAACAGTTCCGTATTGTTTTTTCTATAAAAATTTTATTTAAATAAAACTTTTCTGTAGGCACGTCTCGTTGCTTTATATTATGATACAAAAAAATATAATGAAGCACTTATACTTGGTTCTCAATTGCTTAAAGAATTAAAAAAACTTGATGATAAACAATTGCTTGTTGAAGTTCAATTATTAGAAAGTAAAACTTATTTTGCTTTAAGTAATATACAAAAAGCAAGGTTAGATTTACTTAAAATTGAATTTCATACTTAATTAATTTGCTTATATAGAGCTGCATTAACATCAGCAAGAACAACAGCAAATGGAATTTACACACCACCAAAACTTCAAGCTAGTCTTGATTTACAATCAGGTTGATAATTATTTTAGTTTTTTTTTCATAAGATTTGCAATTGAAGATAATCTTTTCTCTTTACAGGAATTCTTCATGCAGCTGAAGACAAAGATTTTAAAACGGCATTTTCATATTTTTATGAAGCATTTGAAGGTTATGATCAAATCAATAACAGTAAAGGTGTTACTGCTCTTAAATATATGTTATTATCGAAAGTGATGATGAATACGTAAGTTTACTCGATTTATCTATTAATATCCTATCGAAATAATTGTAACATCGATGTTGACGTTTATCGAAGTTATTTTGAACATTTTCATCAAGGAATCGAAGCTAAACTCTTTCCAAATAATTGTGTCGCAAGAGATAATATCAGTCGAGATTTCAAAAATATTAGTAGTAATTGATGCAAATTTGTTGTACAGTTAACATGTCAAATAAATAAGAGATATTTTTTCTCTGCATATAACAGACGTGATGGAAAGAAAATTAGAATTCTAAATTCGGTTAGATGATGTTTAAATTCTGATTTTATCTCAGACAAAATTAAAATGTCCATTTGACCTAGGCGAAATTAAAATAACTTTTCGATCAATGAAGAATTTGAAGAAAGGTCAAAAATTAAATCATGACAGAGGTGACGTACTGGGTGATGGTGAGAGAAGTTCTGAATGATGTGAGAATGAGAAACAGGATAAGATCACATTATCACTAATATTTCCACTTTCATTCCGGACTATGTTTCCTCTCCATACGCATCTCAGACATTGAATGCTCAAATTTTCGGCTCTTTTTCAAGTTCTCTGTTCATCCAAAAAAAAAAAAGATTCGAATTCTGACACTATTCGCTTATATATTTGTAACTTTAATTAAACATATACGTTCAGTCTAGATATTATCAGTATCTACTTTATAGTTAGTGGAAGTTAGAGATGATCACATTTAGTCAAGAAAAGTTCTAGTGTGTTTATTTTAATTAAAAGTAGAATTTATGGTTTGAAAAAAAGCTACATTCATTTTTAAATATATTATCAATCAAATCAAATAGAGATGAAGAATATTCAAAACGATATGTTTCTATACTCTTTTTCTTCTGATAATGTATATACTTATTAGGAAATAAATATACATTTTTTAGCGTAAAGTTTTGTTATGATAGTTGAATAGTTAGCTAATAAAATATTGTTTTATTAACATCCTAAAAATAACTTTGATAAACGTCAATGTGACAGTTGCTACTTCATCGACTGATATAACTTCTATAAACCATAATATATATCTCTATTGTTTTTCGTTTATACTCAATAGACCTGATGATGTTAATGCATTAATGTCGGTAAAATTAGCATTAAAATATAGTGGTCGCGATGTTGAAGCAATGAAAGCAATTGCACAAGCAAGTAAAAAACGATCATTAGCTGATTTTCAACAGGTTTGTTCTCAAAATTTCAAAAAAAAAAATTTATGAAAAATTTACATATCTATATTTAGGCATTAAAAGATTATAAAACAGAATTATCTGATGATCCAGTAGTTCATTCACATTTGGGTACATTATATGATAATTTACTTGAACAAAATCTTAGTCGTCTGCTTGAACCATTTTCTAATGTTCAAATTGAACATATTGCACGTTTAATTGATTTACCTCGTGTATGTATCATTACTCAAATATTTAAACAAAAATAAAATTATTGTTGTGTATTTTTTTAGGATGTCGTCGAAAAGAAACTTTCTCAAATGATTTTAGATAAGAAACTTAGTGGTATACTTGATCAAGGTTCGTCGAATATCGTTATTTTTGATGAAACACCAACGGATACTCAATATCAAGATGCACTTGTTATTATTCAAAATATGTCAAAAGTGGTTGATACTCTCTTTAGTAAAACAAAGAAACTGTCCTAGAATTTTTCATTTTTCGAATGTTTGTCTCCTTTATACTGTTAATTCTTGTTCACAATCAAGCACGAACTAAAATTCTTTTGTTTTCTTGTATTGTTAACTAAAAAAGAAAGAATAAGGATAATTGAACAGCATTGAAAGCCCGTATTCGTCGAGAACTATTATGATTATTGATTGTTCGTAGCTGAAATATTATGTTATCTGTATGGAATCTTGAAGTTCATGTTTTTATAATACGAAAAGAACACGTTTACGTTGCCAAGAGCGATTCATCAGTAAAATTCTCTAGCTAAAAGATATCGATCAATTGGAAGCAAGCGATCATGATCATGCATAGATTTGGTGGGTTACTTATCAATATTTTCTCAATGTAATGTTCAATTGAGCATTACTTACCATAAAAGTGGACTCCATCATTTAACTGCACTTCTGTGCCTTAGATCTTCACGAAAAGATCCTTGAAGTTCATACTGAAGAATAAAACAGTCATCAACACTCGTACTGATTTGCTATTTAATGGAGTTGAGCGTCGCTTCAGGAAAACATTGATAAATAATGCTTCTGAAATAGTTGCAAATTTTTATCTCCTTGACATTTGTTTGTACTGACTATTGCTTTCTCAATCACACAAATCGCTTGCACCTAGATTTAGAACTGCTTGACCTTTCTTCCGCTGGATCCGATTGAACTGTTAGAATCCTTAACTTTAGTAGCAGAAAGCTGATCCGTTGTCTATTAGCTAAATAAGCAATAGTTTTTGTTTCATCATATGAAATAGCTTGAATTGGTGCTTCTACTTGATGTCCATCGTTCTACGAATGAACATGAATAAATTATTAGATAATAAGAACAAGTTTGAAAGAAAGTGGTGTATAATGTGTAGAAGTACTCTTGAATTTTGTCATTAAGCAAATTGATCTTATTTCTACATTTCTATTCAAACATGTTTATGGCAAAATATGTTCAATAAAACTTCAAAGAACATACTACCACATTACGACAAAAAAAAAAGAATCAAATTGTTTCAATTGTATGAGACATATTTACGTTTACTTTTTCAATAAATCTTGGATGCAGCAATATATCTACAGTATACATGATTGTACCAGTTAGACAGACTATAGTAAACTGAAACCCTAATACAGATGATAAATAAAAGTGAGAAAATATGGAGAGCCCAATGGATTTATTTGAAAGTATTTCACTGAATATCCGCTCACATATACTTTTTTTCACAGTCGAGACGATAGAAAAAACCACTCTTACAGAAAGAATCGCTATCATTTCAGACAAATTCTAGTTTAACCGAATCAATTCCTAAATCATATGCATATTTGAAGATAATTAAACAATTAAGATCAGCTATTATGACCAAGTAGGGATTTTTCTAATAACAAATAAGCCATGCATAATTACACATGTAACAATTCTCGATGGAGCTAGGGGCATGATTCGATCATCACGTTCTTTTAGAAAAAAAAGACAGAACTGTGTCTAGGAGTATCTGATTTTAGCCCTTCCGAACGATATAGCTAAATTGCACAAGTGTGCTTGAATGGATTAGTTGGAAACTTAACACGAGGACAAAAACCAAATAAATAATAGCTCAGCTCATATGCAAACAACTGGTAATCATTTACCGGTTTTTTTCAAAAGAAATGGATGATCGAGTCTAGGTATACAACAAATCCGAAATAGATTTGTGACCAAATCCTTGCTGTTTGGATTTGAATTCTATATTTGAATTTGTGTCCACATTAGAAAAAATCTATACAAATAGTTTGGGACTCGATAGCAGCTACTTTGCTTGAAACTGAACTACTCTAAAAAAATTGATTCCTACGAATAGAATAAAATTATTCTTTTTCTAGGAATCTTTGTCCGAAAATTGTGGCACATTATACCGAATTCCAAGGCATCAGATTTGTTGTATCTCTAATCGAAGCAGTTCTGTTCCTCAATTGGAAACTGTGACACGTCTAAATATTTGTTATATTTTATATTTGAGAAACATGCTAAATTAAAATGCTTATTTAATTACAAGAATTGAGCCTAATTCTTTACTTATCATCAAATGTAGATATGATTTAAGAATTGAGTCGGAGAACCAAAATTTATGTTATATAGCAACGGGTCATACGTAAAGACGCGAGCTTAACCACCCTATATTTACAGAAAATAACCCCTTATGATGCGCATTTGTTCTCTTAATACATCTTAATCACAATATCTTTTTTTGGTTCGTTCTAACGGCTTACTAGAACAAGATACATTAATCTCATCAAGATTGGTATAACATGATTTGTAAAAACAAAAAACGCAATATTCTACTTAATATAAAACGACAAAAAACACCTGGACAAATTTACATGAAAAAAAACCAAATTTAACTACACAGAATAACAAAATTTTACCTACTTCTATTCTAAAACATACTCAGTTACACGAGGATATCTTGCACAATAAAAAAAGTATGTTAATAATCTTCACTCTTTTCGTGGTTCTAACATCAGTAGTTTGTGAGCGTCAAACTCCTCCCTCGCATCCCATATGGCCAGTTGGATTCAAGTAAAATTTATATTTAAAGAGAAAAACCCTATAATACATCGACTGTATTTTTTAGAACTGAGGCACTCGTGACTGCCTTTGATGAAGATAATCAACCTCATCCTCACCGTAGTGTGTTTTATTATACTTATACAAATCAAACACTTAGTGGACGTTTACATGGTCAAGAACGACATGATCATTTTGGTTATTGTTATGGTTGGGCTTTAAATGAACCAAGTTGCACTATTTTAATTACTGACAATGTTTACATTGTAGCTCGTAATCTTTGTTGCTTAGCTATGCCAGGAAATTTTGGTGTACCTATTCATTGGCTTAGAGGTGCAACATGGCTTGGAATTGAACAAATTCATGGCAGAACAGTTGATCATTGGTATTCTCATGAGCATGAATATTGGAGTGAAGTTGATGAACCAAGAAATGGTGTTCGTTATTCAGGACCAAATTTTAAAACACCACGTCAATTTACTGATTATGATGCTTGGCAAATTGGTCCACAAGACCCACGTCTTTTCGATTTGCCAGAAAATACTGATTGCAATCAAAGTTGCCCATAAATGGAAATCAAATTGACAACGCTTAATATTTTTTCTAAAGAAAAAAAACAACAAAACAAGCATTAAAATCATTAATAAAAGTTATATATCTCTAGTATTCCTTATACACTTGCATATGCAAAGTTTCAAGTCGAAATTCTATAATCATTTCTCCTAGTGTTCGTTCACGACACCAAGGCATTTTATGAAGAACTAGTATAACAATACAGTCTTTTAATAGTAAACAGCTAAGACCTAGAACATTTTTCAGAATGTGTATAGTTCATTAGAACCCAAATGATGCATACAGTTTCGACTCAAAATCGATTAATCAATTGCGAGCTTCTCTTTTTACTGGCAAGTGTCAAAGATCATTATATAAATATATTTTGATGTTCCTTTCAAAATAGTTTAATAAAACTTCTGGAAATTAGTATAAAATAATTGATTAGCTGTAGAAAGACCGAAAGAAAAAAATATCGAAAGAAGAAAATGTCGAAACTTAAAAAACGTTTAAAAAATGATTATATCGGTAAATGCTGACTTTAATCCTCTAGAGTTTATTATTAGTGCAAAACAGAACAAGCCAAAGCAATTGCTATTCAACGTCGTATAGATAATCTTGACGAATGATATTTTGATAGCCTTATACAGGTAATGTTCCTACATGAAAAAAAATGACATCATCATATTTTCAGTCGTTTTATCTTTTGATTTGCGTATGATCCATATTACATTGTTAGTATTGTGCTAAAAATGATGAATGTTTTTTAGTTAAAATTTTCGATGTTTTTTCTTTCGAGCTGCCTATAGCACGTCAAATAATTTATTTTGAAAAACTTGAAACGATGTATCAACAAAACCAATCTAAATCTTCGCTCATAGAAAATAATATTTGTGAAATAAACTCTTTAACATATAAGAAACCAAATATACGCATAATGCCGCATAGTACAAATTCAGAAATTTGAAACAAATAGATAAATTATGAAGAAAAATAAGTTTTACTCGAAATTATCTTGATCATCGAAAGCAAAAGACAAAAATAATAGAAAATTGGATCGATCCACAATGAAAAGACATATATATTGTTTATTCATTCATTTGTACTGAAACATTATTCGATTTTTTGTTTTTGATTTAAATTAGTAATCTTGTGCCTGGACGACATTTCTTTTATATTGTTTATGTTAAAAGTCCAAATAAAACTGAAATCATTTGTTTATTAGAAATCAAATTACATAGTTTATATAAAAAAAATTCAAGTACAAAAGTACACAGTACAGGGTCGGAAAGAATATTATTCAAGGGGGGGTAACGATATAATCCCGAATAGGAGGTATGATGAATTTTATACCAAATGAAAGCCCGTGAAAAACGGGGTTTAGTGATGCTAAATACAAAGGCTTTGGAAAACTTTCATATGTCAAACTCTGAAAAGTTCCGATTTTTCATCCATGAAAGTCATGAGAAAACTAGTTTATCATATAGTATTCGAATTAAAGGCATTAGAAAATAGTTTCTTTTTTTATTCTTTAATGAATATAATCAATAATCTGTGTGACGACCATTAGCATTTTTTACAGCACGAAATCGAGATGGATATGAGCATAGAAGAGTTTCAAATAGTTCAGTATCTTCTTCCATGCTTGCTAAAACATTTGCGACGTGCATTTTGAGCGTTTCTTCAAGATATCGATTATGTCCACTTTCCGATGACATTTTTTTTTCAACTTCATCTTTGATTATTGATCCGATGTGTTCTGCCACATTGAGATCAGGTGAATTTCCTGGCCAGATATCATTACCCCAAAATTTGACATCGTTGTCTTGGAGCAAATGTTGAGTTTTATTTGCTCGCATACACGGTGCTTTATCATGAACAAATATAACTTCATCAGGATCAATAACATTTTCTTCATTTTTTAAGAAAGGAATTACATTTTCAATCAAAACAATATCGCGAAAATATTGACCTGTCCAAGATTCCCCTTTATCTTTGATAATCCATAGTAATCTTTTGCAAGTAAACATTATAAAAACTCCAACACATGATTGGTTTTTTACCATTTCACGATATCTTTCATCTTCAGTAACGTCTTCAATACTTTTCGCCCAGATCCTATCATTCTGATAATTTGGTCGACGGACAGTCCAAATATAAAATTCATCAGATGGTGCCAGATGAAGAAAATCTTCTACAGTCCAATCTTTTAACC